TCTTTGAGATGGAGTCTCACTCTTGACACCAGGGCTGGAGTGCAGTGGTGCAATCTTAGCTCACTACAACCTTTGCCTCCTGGGTTCAAGGGATTCTTGTGCCTTAGCCTCCTGAGTAGCTGGGAATACAAGCATTTGCCACCATGCCCAGTTAATTTTTGTATTTTTAGTAAAAATGGGGTTTCACCATGTTGGCCAACCTGGTCTCAAATTCCTGACCTCAGGTGATCTGCTCCCCTTCGGCCTCCCAAAGTTCTGGGATTACAGGTGTGAGCCATTGCGCCTGGCAGAGATCAACTTTTTAAGGTTCCACATTTAAGTGAGGTCATGCGATATTCTGTACTTGGTTTGTTTAACTTAACATAATGTTCTCTAGGTTCATCCACATTGTCAAAAGGATTTCATTCTTTTTTTTTTTTTTTTTTTTGAGATGGAGTTTCACTCATGTTACCCAGGCTGGAGTGCAATGGTGCGATCTTGGCTCACCACAACCTCCGCCTCCTGGGTTCAGGCAATTATCCTGCCTCAGCCTCCTGAGTAGCTGGGATTACAGGCACGCACCACCATGCCCAGCTAATTTTTTGTATTTTTAGTAGAGACAGGGTTTCACCATGTTGACCAGGATGGTCTCGATCTCTTGACCTCGTGATCCACCCGCCTCGGCCTCCCAAAGTGCTGGGATTACAGGCTTGAGCCACCGCGCCCTGCCTAAGGATTTCATTCTTTTTTATAGCTAAACAGTATTACATTGTGTGTCTGTGCCACATTTTCTTTATACATTCATCCATTGATGCATACTTAGGTTGATTCCATACCTCGGCTATTATGAATAATGCTGCAGTAAATATGAATTCAGAAATTCCTAATAGAAGAGTTTTAGGGTAAGGCCTGGGGATTGTTTTTGTTTTGTAGTGTTTTTTTATTTTAATTTTTTATTTTATTTATTTATTTTTTTGAGACAGAGTCTCACTCTGTTGCCCAGGCTGGAGTGCAGTGGTGCAGTCTTGGCTCACTGCAACATATGTCTCCCTGGTTCAAGCAATTCTCCTCCCTCAGCCTCCCGAGTAGCTGGGACTGCTGGCGTGTGCCACCATGCCCAGCTAATTTTTTTGTATTTTTAGTAGGGACAGGGTTTCACCATGTTAGCCAGGATGGTCTTGATCTCCTGACCTAGTGATCCACCCACCTCAGCCTTCCAAAGTGTTGGGATTATAGGCGTGAGCCATTGCACCTGGCCAACAAAATAATTATATTTCATTGAAGAATCTTTCATGTATAATATTTATAAGCAGTTATTTCTAGAGTTTGAAGTCCATGGCAGGACATGAAGATAGTAGGGGCAAGACCAGGAGAGTCTTGGTTTTGTTTTGTTTTTCTGAGGCAAGGTCTTGCTCTGTTACCCAGGTGGGAGTACAGTGGCACCATCACGGCTCACTGCAGCCTTGGCCTCCTGGGCTCAAGCAATCCTCCCACCTCATATTTAAATTTTTTTTTTTTTTTTTTTTTTTTTGGGAGGGGTTTTACCTCTTGTTCCCCAGCTGGGGGGGTGTGGGGAGGGGCGAGGGCGACGGGACGCCGGGCCG